ATTTTGTCTTTTCAGATGAGCTCTTTCCCGTCTCTTCTAAAGGGTTCTCTTGGAAGTGTTCCTGTATTTCCAAGTGGGGAAGATCTGTCTGATAAATTGTTGCGTTTTCATAACTTTCATAACTTTTAGCACTAAAATAGTTACACTGCAAGGACAGGTGTACCAGGCTGCTTAAAAACAGAACGCATCCGGTCACGCTGTCCTTGTTCTTAAAGTAATAGCTGTTCTGTGCAGCTCAGCACGTAGTGGGCATCGTGCGGGTACGTTTACGTTTGTTCCTCCCAGTTCCCACACGAATGCTTAGAGGTAAATACGCTTTTAGCTCCATTTTACTTGAGGAAACAGAGGCACAGAGAGCTTCAAGGGCTCGTGCATATATAATACGTATCTGTCTGTCTAGCTAATGAGTGTCAGAGCCAGGCTTTGTCACTCCAGAGACTGTGTGTGCGTGATGTCCGCTGGCACTCCAGAGGGAGGGCTAAGGGACAGATCACAGGAGCCCGTCACAGAGCAGAGCTGTCGCTGGTGCCTCAGTACTTACGAGGCAGTTGTATTCAGGAGCAGCCACTCGGTCCTGTGAGCTGCTTTGCTCTTTAGTGAATGTGACGGGGCCAAGTCTTTGTCATCACACTGACCTCTGGGTTTCGTGTCAGCGGCCTTCCAACCAGCCCTTGTCTTCTGGGCCCACAGATCATCAATGAGGACATCGCCAAGAAGACGTGTGAGGAACATCAGCTCTGTGTCGTGGCCGTGCTGCCCCACATTCTGGATACCGGTACGATGAGCAGAGGCTCCCTCGCCGTCTCCGCTCCGTGCTCCTGGCTCTGAGAGCGCGTGCTCGGTTGATGAATGTGACGGACTCCTTTCTCTTTCCCTTGAAAAAATTCTGTCTGTTTCAATCAGGAGCTGCTGGCAGAAACTCGTACTTAGAAGTTCTTCTAAAGTTGGCAGACAAATACAAAAAGAAAATGTGGGGGTAAGTTGTCATTATCTCAGTAGGCTTTGGCTGGAAGAGCTTTGTGCTCCTGAATTTCGGGTTTCCACTGTGTTCTCTGTCAGATGTGTCCTGTTTCTCTCTGGCTTTTTTTTTTTTTTTTTTTTTTTTTTTTTTTTTTTTT